TTATTGTTATTATTAGAAATTATTGTATAGCTTACCCTAAAAATTGAGCAATCAAGCCCATATGAGTAACCAATTATATAATCCACCCCTTAAAAACCGGTCTGGAGTTTAACTTAGATGGTTAATAACTGCTTGAACTGATCCATGTTGTGCTACTCAACACTGATCAAACACGATACAGAGGAGCAATTAATTTTGGCATTAATGTTTGTAAACGTTCTAAACTTGGTACTTACATGAACTATGTGTGATTGGATTCCTGTTAACAGGATGCCCGAGTGAGTTAAGCATCGATTCTTAAAGGCAATAATAATATTGTAAACATGTTCAGTTAAGGAGTTACACCTCAGTAGGAGTAGCGAAACGAATCTTTTCTCATTTATGCGAACACAAGTTTTTGACCTTTCGGAGATGTTACAAAAGCTTTTATATAGATGTGCCTCAAACCATTTTCAATAACATTTTAAAACATTTCCGGACGATTCCTAACTGCTAATAAACGACTAACCGCGGTTACTACACCCGACATCTGTACAGCGTTAGATCCAACAAACAATTCACGTTCAACGGCTGTAATGCATTATTAAATTTCGTTAGAAGCATTCCCAATCATGTTGAGTTCAATGTACGTGAAAACTGTGCGGTTTGATGAAGAGGAAGGACGTACATTTCATATGAAGTTACAATTTCTTCTGCAGTCCTTCATTCGGTCACACACATGCGAGGAATAAATCCTGGGCAAAATTTTTAAATTGTATGTGATCTGACGACGACTCACATCAAGATGTCGACAGGCGCCAAATTTCGAACGCATGACCAAATAAATCACCACACATCAGCAGAAATTCATTTTTTCATACAAAAGAAATGTCACGTTTTTAAAAAATTTTCCACTAAGAAGTAAATATATATAGTCGACTTTTGATAAGTTGAGAATTCAATTTTCTAATTTTCTAAACACAGAAGACCTTGTACTCTGCAAATATTAAGAAGCAATTTTTGCCAATTCTTGTCAATTCCATAGAAATTAATATTCTCAAAATCCCTTACAAATTACTATTATTGTACTTACTTTATTAAGAAAATAACGATTATGCTTCAAACTATTTCTCACTGGGCTTCTCCTTTGATTCTCTGAAAAGGCTGCCTGCAGCTGTTCTGCGATATTTTTCGGGACAGAAAATTTGTCTTAGCCTCGGATTAATTGGCAACGTAGTAAGCCAGACATTCTTCCAGTTTGATACACGTGTAATACAAGTTTTTCCTCAACTAATTTGTTTTCACATTCAGCTATGAGTGCTGGTCGTCTAAGTATGTATTAATTACACAGTTGTGGTCAAGCAAGTATACAGGCTTCGAGCTCCGTTCTATTGTTCAGTCTCAACAATTTGGATACGTACAAATAATTATTTGTGATTACACAAGCTTCATTTGTTGCCTAACTCCAGCAGGTATCCATAGTTGCGGACGCGACGCTTCCATGCAAGTTCGTTACTCCGACGCGCCTATATATCTCGCACCGCTTCTATGAATTGCAGGTTGAATTTCTTACCGAATCTTACTCAGGAGAAAATTTCGTTCAAAAAATATGTAAACAATAAAAATAACAAATATTAAATAGCTAAAAAATTGATACAAATGTTACAAACAATAGCTTCTTCATGATATCAGATGAGTGCTTTATTTTACTTACGAATAATTCGATTTCGATTAGAATCGAAATTTCGATTAGATTTTTTATTTTTTTCTGATATGTAATGGGAAAAATTGGCTGCAGTGTGCCCCATAAATTTGTCAGGTTATATTGTTAAATAAAATAATGTTTGCCACAGCCGTTTTTAGAGATTTTAGCTTATAATTTAAATTCACCGAAGTAAATATTTCATATTTAATAAGACGTTGAGTAATAACTTCGGCTGATATCTCCTTATGTAATTTAAATTTCCTTCACTTCATTTGTCTCGCAACAATGAGGTTGCGCGTGTTCGCGCATACTGAACATGTTTAGACGGTCGACCATCATTGTTCGCAACAATTTTCTAGAGGGATCACACTCTTCGTCCATTCTTATACTATTCAATTGGCCAAGCATTTCGTTCATTACGTCGTACGCAACTCCGTAATCAGTCTTTCATTTTAATCATCGTAATCAGTCACCTTTGGTTACAAATGGCTTACCTGCGACAGTCGAATAACTGGGCCACGGCAGGGAATTGTTTGTTTCATTATTGTGCCAAGTTTATTAAGTTCAGCCAAGCGTTTGAAATAAATCCCTACAGTTGTGGTCAAGCAAGTATACAGGCTTCGAGCTCCGTTCTATTGTTCAGTCTCAACAATTTGGATGCGTACAAATAATTATTTGTGATTACACAAGCTTCATTTGTTGCCTAACTCCAGCAGGTATCCATAGTTGCGGACGCGACGCTTCCAAGTTCGTTCCTCCGACGCGCCTATATCACGCACTGCTTCTATGAATTGCAGGTTGAATTTCATACCGAATCTTATTCAGGAGAAAATTTCGTTCAAAAAATATGTAAACAATAAAAATAACAAATATTAAATAGCTAAAAAATTGATACAAATGTTACAAACAATAGCTTCTTCATGATATCAGATGAGTGCTTTATTTTACTTACGAATAATTCTAGAGGCAGAAATTTCGATTAGATTTTTCATTTTTTCTGATATGTAATGGAAAAAATTGGCTGCAATGTGCCCCATAAATTTGTCAGGTTATATTGTTAAATAAAATAATGTATGCCATAGCCGTTTTTAGATATTTTAGCTTATAATTTAAATTCACCGAAAGTAAATATTTCATATTTAATAAGACTTTGAGTAATAACTTCGGCTGATTTCTCCTTATGTAATTTAAATTTCCTTCACTTCATTTGTCTCGCAACAATGAGGTTGCGCGTGTTCGCGCATACTGAACATGTTTAGACGGTCGACCATCATTGTTCGCAACAATTTTCTAGAGGGATCACACTCTTCGTCCATTCTTATACTATTCAATTGGCCAAGCATTTCGTTCATTACGTCGTACGCAACTCCGTAATCAGTCTTTCATTTTAATCATCGTAATCAGTCACCTTTGGTTACAAATGGCTTACCTGCGACAGTCGAATAACTGGGCCACGGCAGGGAATTGTTTGTTTCATTATTGTGCCAAGTTTATTAAGTTCAGCCAAGCGTTTGATATTAATCCCATATTCTATCAGTTTTGATAAACCTTTTTCTGCAGAATGCAATTCATTGCCACTTCATTATGCATTTATTGTGACTTCCTCCTTATTTATATATAGGCATTTAATTTAATGTTATTAGTTAGATTTTACTATCAACGCGAAAAAATTTTTATGCGTCTGAGCGATTATCCAACGGTAGAATATTAAACGGGAATGCCACCTGCATTTGGTGATTGATCGTAATTTGAATGCGACAGCAAGGCAACGCTTCTACTCAGCCTAAGTTTTTCAGAAGATAAAAAATAACAGACTGCGATGCTGAAACTCCAAGTGTTATGTGGTGTTCGTGAGCGTTATCTTTGCTATCATGATTCGGACTACCACCTCGTATTTGCATGCATTGAGGCTTAGCTGGCGCGTTCATTTTGTCTTCGTATTTGCATGCATTGAGCCTCATAGTCAACACGTACGTTCAGTTTGCATTAGTATTTGCGTGCATTAATTGAGGCTTAGTAAGCGCGCACAGTTTGTCTTCGTATTTGCATGCATTGAGGCTTGGTTAGTACGTGCAGTCTGTCTTCGTGTTTGCATGCATTGATGCCTGTTAGAAATTACGTTCATTTGTCATCGTGTTTGCATGCATTGAGGCTTGCAAAGTTATCACGTTGAATTCGTACTTTTGATTGCATGCAACTTAAGCTGCCACATCACGTTCAGATTACGGAACATTGCGGCATAATGCGCATGCCGGCCGAGGTGCTGACATTTCTATACGTGCATAATGTTCGGCATGCGCCTCTGCGCAACACTGCGCCTGCCTTGCTTTTCGGACGTGGCGCTTCAACAATGATGATCAATGTCATCATTGATAACAATTGCTGTAATGTCAGCTGCAAACATTTTTATAAAATTTATTACTATTTTCATTCCATGCAATGATTTTTGAAAAAAAATTTCAACAATTTTTACTTATATGATTTGAAGTAAAAATAAACTAATATATGAACAATTTCATATATTAGCGCTTATGAACCCTATTAGAACCCTATGCTTTAAAATTCTCTGCCACGGACGAGACGCGGCATAAACTTTGCTCTCTGAAATAGATAAAAGGAGTTCATAAATTTCCAGGTCACCAGACGTCGCTGCCAGCCAATGTAATATCTGTGGGTATATAATTATTTACTGGAGACAAGTCTGATTTGTGAGAAAAATAACCCTTATAGCGTTACAGGAAGATAGACTTGCTTCAATATAAAGAGATAAAACTTCTCTTCTATGTAAAGTGCAATTGGATGAAATTTTGTGTATATTAGCGAGGAATTTAGTACGCAGCAGAGATACGCTTAAACAGCAAAAGAACACTGTATCGAATAAAATCCCCCACAATTCTCGAATTTAAAAGCATCTCAGAGATAAACAACAGAAATGAGAATTACAATATAAATGAGCACAAGTTAACCTTCCTAGGCAAGGTAGGGGGGCATTGATGTACATAATTAATTAATGTTTGAATAAACAAGCAAAATAGTGATTACATCCAAGGAAATCAAATGGTATATAATGACTGCAGGTTGCACAATACAAATCGAGGCACTTCGATGTTGCCGTATATACGGTCGGAAGAAAACGCTTGTCTTACGGGCAGGGTGTCTTACAGTCCACTGTTTACAGTTGTAATTGGGACAAAAAGGTACAAGTTCGATTCCAGCTCTGTTCGACAGTTTCTGGTCAGAATCGACAAAGAGGCCAGGCAAAATTGGAGTAGTGAGTTGATGGTTTGAGATCGTAACACGCCGTGAATGTTCTGCAATGTTAAGAATAGGCGACAGGCCTAACGGCCCAATGAAAGCTGAAACCACTACTGCTACTATTGCTTGGCCTGTATTCGACCTCCTACACCACCGTACTTGCGAAATTGGCATAAACCATATCATTCTTAAGCAACCTGCAACAGTATTAATATAACTTCTTCAACGTCGAAATAACTTCACAAAACCCAAGAGCCTACCATTAAAACCTACAACACTATAACACAAACACAGCAGGGCAACCCCGATAATGCACGCCAGTACAACCCAATACCGCAACCTCCCACTACAACCCTATACCCCGACCACATCGCCACCACAACCCAATACCCCAACCACCTCACCACCACAACCCAATACCTCAACCACCTCGCTACCACAAACAATACAACAACCACCACAACCCAATACCCCGACCGCCTCACCACCACAACCCAATACCCCGACCACCTCACCACCACAACCCATACCCCGACCACCTCACCACCACAACCCAATACCCCGACCACCTCACTAACCCCCTTCTGCCACCACAACCCAATATCTCGACCAACCCTCCTTTGCCACCACAACCCAATATCCCGACCAACCCCCTTCTGCCACCACAACCTAATATCCCGGCCAACCCCCTTCTGCCACCACAACCTAATACCCCGACCAACCCCTTTCTGCCACCACAACCCAATATCCCGACCAACCCCCTCTCGGCCACCACAACCCAATACCCCGACCAACCCTCCTTTGCCACCACAACCACCGCCCTCAGCAGCACCAGTGCAGGCCCCAGTTGCGTGTCGGGAAGCACTAAGTGAAACTGACGTATCAGTTTAAGAGCCCCCGCAGCCCAACACCGCGCCAATCCTTTTAGGAAAATTACATGGGCTTTCCACCTCCCCTTTCCCGTCGTCACTGCATCACTCGGTCATCCCCATCACTCCTACGCTCTTATTTTTTGGAATGTTGGGCAGTGTTGACCCTATACCATGGCCTATAATGATATATTAGGAACGGTATTAGAAATAACATGATCATACTCATTATCTGGTTTGCAGAATGTCGATACCAACAATTCGTATGTTCTATTTGGCTTAATTTGCAGGGTAGTGGAACTAATATATATTTCTATGCTGTCATGTTTTCATAATATTTGAACTAACGAATCTTACGCTCTGTTTGGCTTCTTTGAAGTGTTTTGTGACCAACGAATCGTAAGCTTTGTTCGGTAGCTATGATGCGTTTAGGAACTAACATGGTTGTCACTTGTTGACTGGTTTTTATAATATTCGAATAATCATAATCTTGCTTCCTGTTTAACATTTTACTGTTCGATCTTTTGCGTTTCTGCTCTCTATTTGCTTGATATGACATTCAGTTATGGTGCTCTCAGGATTTCTTAGGCTTACGAGTACCATAAAAGTTTGTGGATAGGCCTATGTTTAATTTAGTTTCGTCTTAAAAAATTATTGTATGACATGACTAAATTACAAATTCTGTCACAAACTTGGTACGAAAACTATTGAGTAGTTAATTAGGTCGTTGTGAACGCTGATTACAATATTGGACGTTTTTTTTTCTTCTGTAACTTGAGATGACTTCCTTTTCTTTTTATTTGACTACGAAAGATGCAATCGATATTAGTTTTCTAATCTACGAACAGCATAGGGACAAAACGAAACTTCAAAACGGGAAAAACGAAACGGAATGCGCTTTTGGAACTTCGTACAATAAAGAAAAATTGAGTCTTTCTCTGTTGAACAGCTGGAGAAGCTGCGTAGCGAGCAGATGTTACATTCTCAGCTCGTGTAAGTTAATGAAGGCAGAAATCAAGAAGGCTCTAACACTGGTAGGATAAATATATGCTTAGATGCAATGAAGATTGTAACAGAGTAGTGGTCTATAGGCCGTTCATTTTAGGAAGTCCTGATAGCGGCTACGATAAAACATTTTATATCAGGTCCTGCAATGATCGAACGCGTATATGGTTTCAAAGCTCGTAAATGCATCCCTTGTCTGTATGCCTAGAAATATGAGGATCTTAGTCCACCAGTTACATCTTGTCGATTTTCTTTAGTATCACTTCCCAATGGAAGTAAGATTACTTCTGGGCTTGAACATTAAAACTTTCATTAATGGTATCGTAATAAGGACCTTTTTTTATTTTTATGTTATGAAATTTTGCATCAAGAATAAATGCACATTCTTAGAAATATTTTACTGTGGAATGCACCAATAGGTCATGTTTTTAGAGAAATACGATTAGAAAAGTCATATTCAGTACAGCTCGTGGATATGACGCTCTTTACAGTCACTTTATTAGACATCATTTGCGTCTTCCTTAACACATATTTTCCCAAAAAAAACTTTTTGCTTCTCATACATCAGGAAAATATATTATTAATTTCGATCTTTAAATGGTGGAAATTTGCAGTATTGAAAAAATGGTCTCGTTACTAGATCAATCAGATTTTTTTGTACTCAAAATTACGGCAAAGAGGAAAATAAGTTTTTGATACATATTTTGCCGCGCCAAATGTACGCCTCCTGCATTTGATCCGAATTATCTTTTGCTTTTCTAAGCTTGAAACTTTATACTTTGATATAGGCTTCACATAGGTTGTGCTCACAGCAACATTAATTCGTAGAACGTAAATTTATATTGTTGTTATTTGCGGCACAGAATTTTAACGACGACATTCTAGGATTTCCGTGAATGTCGAATTTACAACCCTATACGAATTTGACACACGAAGTGAATACGAATTTACAACCCCATAGCCTGTCCAATTGATAAAGACATAATTAATTACCTGCACTTGAATTTATGGACCCCATTTTCTTGCAGTTAAGTTGCATTCACCTTCCAACTATAGTTGTTCTAATGTAACCAAATAAAAATTGTTCGAAAACCAACACAATGATTAAACATGATTTTGAACAGTGTTTGATGTTGTAGTGTTTGTTTGATTCAATTCCTATTTTCGCTTTCAGTATTTCTTACAGGCAGAAAGTAAGTTTACTAAGCGGATTGCACCCCTCATTGTAAATACAGGAAGGCCAAATTGGCATCTGTCAAGAATGAAAAAGTCGGCTATGCATCGCTAGGTATTCCCTTCTTAAACCTTTGGGGATATGCTGTATTCAACTTCAATCTGAAAATATCATGCAAGCTTTGCCATCGTGGTGGAGGCATAACATGTTTAAAGGTGCACATAAATTGTGTAGAAGCGCGCTCTGGACGCGGGAATATTCTGTGCGGTCAAGGAACGTTTGCACTGACGCCCATGCAAAGAACGTACATTAATCAAAGAGCTCGATAAACCTTGGAATTTATCTATGAATTCCAACGTCAAGAGTACAATTAAAGAATCTTTTCTTCTTCAATTTTGCATACATCATGGTCGAATGTTTGACTGAAGCGCTAGGGTTTAAGTTAAATTAGAGAGTAACTTAGATACAGATCACTGCCAGCAAGTGAAATGTATTTCACGGAAATTAATAATTCTCAGTCTAGGGACACCACTTCGTTGTCATCGGTTATTGAAGTGCCTTGTATGAGCAATTACATGCAAAAATTCCATTTCTGCTTTAATGTGGGAAGTGTCCAGAAATTTTGTACATTGTGATGCCGATGCTCTGTTACAAGTACTTATTTGAATAGAATAATTATGCACATTACATTTGTTAATAATTTTTTATTCAACCAAAATAAAATGAAAAAAGGCATCCCTTGCGTTTTGTCAAATATTGAACGATTCGATTTGTCTATTGATGATCAAAAAGTGAAGATATGACTTGGAACGCTGCCAGTTTGTAAACATGCAAATGACTCATAGAGATGGCCAAAATCTTTGTATTCGAGTTAAATTATCATAATTAAAATGCAAGTATTAGCACATGATGTGGAAACACGCTTGAAAAATGTTCCTATTGTTACATTTATCTTGTTCATGCTCGTACCAATAACAAGTAAATTGTTATGAAACTTAAAAAAATTCAATTATTTTAGGATGATGCTTCCTGTTTCCTCCATTTCACAATTTTACATTCGGATGAAATCATCGTAATTGCAATTTCAGCAGCTATATTTCCCTTCTTCGACGTCCCATAAAAGGTACAGCAATTAATGCTCTCAAATTTGCTTAGCATTTCCGGCACCGGTAGAATCATTGGTGTAAATAGAAAGCATTATGAAAATGTGATGAAATTAAACAGTTGCCAAGATGACTAAAAATTTTTTTCTTTTTTGTCTGTATAGAATCCAGAATCAGAAAATTTTGATGAATAGATTCCCGAATTGTGGGCGCTGAAGTGAATACCTGATTTTTCATATCATCTAAATAGGGCATTTCCGGTGTTGCTCTACGTGACCTTCCATCATTACCGTTTTACAGGCCCGAGTTTTAGCGTCCTGACAAGCTAACTTATTGGTTTTCTCACCCCATTGGCCACCTCACTGATGAATGATGAAAAATTAGGTTAAGCGGAAATTGATTTGTGGTTGCACGTGTCGCGCACCAACAGCGCCGCCGCGACGGCCGTCGGTGATCAGGTCAGGAAGTGCGCTTGTTTGTCGGGACGCGGAGGTGAGCGTCCTCGGACGAGTACGTGTTTCGATCATGAAATTTGTATGCTATGTGCGCAAGTTTACGTCATCAGGAATTCATTTCGAGCTAGAACAGTTAGTTATAAGTCATATTTATATTTAAAAAAAATTTGAAAAAATTACATTACAAGGTAATGGAAAAAATACATTTTAAAAAATGGAAAAATTAAGGAAAAATAGGTTCTAATTTTTTGAAACTTTAAGAAATTATATTCAATTTAGTCTACATTTTATTCATCAATAAGGCTTGAGTGGGAGAGTGCTTCATTTCGCAAAAGCTTGAGAACCGAGTTATGTCTATGAAACACTTGGCTGTAGCAGTGGAAATTTCGTAAAATCGAGAATCGGCTGCAAGCCAAACATCTTCAATGCAAATGCCACTATATTATTAAATGCTTGGGAAATTTGAGTGGTTAAGATCAACAAATTTGGAGCAGTGAGTTACGAATTGTAACCTGCAGCGTGTAGGGTAAATTCTGGTCGATCTCAGCGAGGTCGCTGTGTGATAATGCAGAAGTGCAAGATTGGAGCTTTGAGAGATGTGTTCAGAACTCTACCTGTGAAAGTTCTGCGATGTCAAAAATTGACGATCGGCCAACATGTTATATAATGTTGGCCTCTTTACTCCAACGTTTTTTTATAGAGGAACTTCATAGAGAGTTACGAGTCTCACTTGAAAGTCTTACATCTTCAATATCCTCACAACATTTAGTCGTACAAATCAAATCACTCGCACTTTTTAGCTCAAATTGAACTTCATGTTTGTAATGATGCATCACTGAAGTACCATTTACAAGCGGAAACCAAGGCCAGCGTTACCATTTGTAGCAAATGAGTGCCCCGAAGCTTTAAAAAATCATCTGAAATAGCGTTGCAATATTGTCAGAGAAAACAGATTGGAATCTGAGTACTTGGATCAAGTACTTGGATTTGAAAGGACCCTGCCTGTCAATTTTGTTTGAGTTATGAAGAGTGACGCTACATTCAGCGATCATCTCGGCCGTCCTCAGGTGCAATTGACAATGTTTTTACGCCTCTCCATCTTCTTTGCGGGCAAAATGCGATGACATCAGTATTTCTAATCAAGCATTGGGTGGTCCGCGACTACAAGTCCCGGGTAATTAACGATTTGAGAGATGCAGCAGAAAGTGGCTGTGGTACTACGATTTCGTTCCTTGATGGTCACGCTTGAGTCGTGTGGAGAAGAAC